TTTCGTTACCTGTCATTTTCGAAAATTGCAGATGCTATAAAAAGACAAATATTTTTGTTTCAAGGAAGATATTTTTTACCTGAAATGTATGTCTAATGAAGAATGAATTCATACGGTTTCAAATTTGCAGACCTTAAGAAAATAGTTTTTAAAGATGTCTAATGTTGCGATAGTTTAATATAAGTTACATATTCCCCCTTTTTTTTTTTTTTTTTTCTCCGAAAGTAATGCAAGCAGCGTTTTCGAACTTGACACGTTTTAAGGATATAGTGTGTTCATTAGGTACATAAATTATTGCTGCCGTAGGGCAAATGTAAATTTTCATATGTTGCCTCAAAATTCTCATACTGGCAAAAGTGTACTCCACTGAAATTTGAATAATAAAAAAAATCATCTTCGATTTTTCTTAAAATCTCGTAAATAGACAACCGAAGGCCATCATACAGTAATATAGAAAAACATGTTGCATTATTTTGTTTTTAGTGACAATATTCGTGGTACAAATCAGGGCTTTTCAAGAATGCGCTGATAAGCTGAGAAATCTAGAAATCGGAACGGAAAAGCGGGAATAAGCTTCAAACGCGAGTAAACGTGACCACATTTGGTGAAGAAAGGCTGTTTTAGCAGATAGGAGTAACTATTTTGAACACGGTACTCTACAGTATCTGAATTCAGTCTTATACGTAGAGCACTGAGACTTCTAATATGTGGTGCCTCTCCATTACTGACACACAGATGGAGCTGCTGTGACGGCCATGTGTTTGCAACACGTTGGGTAAGAGAATTGAATGTTGAATGAGTTCATAAACGATTCATAACAAATTTTTATCATTTGGGGCACGAAGACTGCCGCATTAGACTGAAGAATATGCTTTAGGGCAAGTTGTCATCCGTCGTCTGCTCTACAGATGAATTGCTGAACATGGTTTAGGGCAAGTTGTCATCCGTCGTCTGCTCTACAGATGAATTGCTGTGCGCCGCATCTCGGAGGCAATACTTTAGATCATATGGTTCAAAGTAGGGACAAAGATTACGCCTCCCGTAATTTTATCGACAAAAACATTGTGAAATTCATTTTAACGTACTATACTTCAGTTTTGTATTCGCACTGTGGACACTTGCGCACAAGTATTGTTGCGTGATGGCCATAAACCGCAGTCCTTCAGCGAAGAAAGGGTGATTATATTACTGAAAGAGAGTATGGAGGCGTCAGATCCTAAATCGTGGAGGCCCATTACCCTTCTAAACACAGACTATAAGTTAGTAGCCACGTACGCTGCTATCACGGCGTCTGCGGCCTTTCTTGGAAGAGATTGCGTCCACCTTGCAGTCATGTGCAGTACCAGGACGTTCCGTCTTCATACCTCTTACAATCATCAGAGACCTCTTCGCATATGCCAAAGAAAAACAAATCTCAGGAGTATATATTTCTCTTGATCAGGCCAAAGCATTTGATAGAGTTGAACACGGGTATCTTTTCGCTATTTTGCGCATATTTGGCCTCCCAGAGCAGTATGTGCGACTGGTATAGAAATACTTTATCAGGACATGTCAAGTTCTCTTTATTTCCACAAAGAAGTGACCAGAAGCTTTGCAATTCAAAAAGGGGTGAGGCAAGGCTGTCCGTTGTCTCCGGTATTATTCATTTTGCCTCTATAGCCTTTGATTAGAAAGGTTGCAAACTGCGAGCGCATAGTGGGTTTCCCGATGCCAGGCAAGAAAACCTTCAAAATTGTCGCATATGCCGACGATATTTCGGTATTTTTTTCGTAACTTGTCTAGCTATTTAGTACATTCCTTGACATTTTTGCTGAGTATTCCTATCTGTCTGGTGCTCTTTTAAACACCACCAATTGGAAGGCATTGCGCTTTGGAGGCTTCAGAGAACTATTGCCAGGAGACTTAGAATACGTTCAAGCTGTTAAGGTGTTAGGCGTTTACTTTGAGGAAGGTGATGTATCAAAAAAGACCTGGGATGACGTGCTTAGGAGATCTACCGATGTCATAGCAGCAGCCACTCATTTTAACCTGTCACTAACGGCAAAAGCAACAGTCATGAAGACAGAGGCATGCGCTTTTGCGTTTTACATAGCACACATCGCCCTGCTACCTCGCCGTGTTACAGGACGCCTCGCTTCTATGGCGGGGACCTTTCTCTGGGGAGGAAAACCAGCAAAGGTACGGACGAAATTTTTACAGCTTCCCACAAACCATGGAGGCTTGAGCCTCCCATATATACCAACGTTCACGAGAGCGCTGGCTGCAAAAACAACACAGAAGCTATTCGATGACAGCAACTACCCCGGGTACAGGCTCATGATGTACTGGAGCCGCACACTGAAAGGTACTTTCATGGCCAATCCGTACATCGGACCACGAGCAGAAATTCCAATTAAGTTTTACAGAGCTGCCAGTGGCTTAAAACGAACAGTGGAATCAATAAGTTCATGCAGTCTGGAAGATGTTTCATCGCAAGAAATAAGCGAAATGGTGACAAGTAGCACACTGAGCAAAGAGTAAAAAACAGCATCCTGCACGAGAAAATGGAAACGATGGCGTTGCAATCGCGTACTTAACCAGTGCGCGAATTTGATTGGTTGAGAAGATTGAGGGCATTGCCTACGCGTGACCGGTTAGCACATTGAGGAGTCGTTCCAAATGACCGCTGCCCAAACTGTGGCAAAAGAGAGACGACCCAACATAATCTGTTTCAGTTCTCGGTGGCGAGGGGCGTCTGGCACATGGTACAACGCCTCTTTGGCTTTCGCACGGCGCGCATGGGAACAGAACGTGGGCTGTTTGCAAGATTGGTCTTTACAGTAACCTTGTACGTACTGTGGCGGCGACGCTGTTTACCGGAAGTACGGCACAAGCCGCATAGAGGCTCCTATCCCGCACTACAGAAAATTCGGCTCATTGTGTGGAATTACCTAGATCAGCAGCTGGAATCGCACGGTGAAGAGGCCTTCCTTCGACGATGGCACACATTTCTTCAAAGTAAGAGAGGGACAGCTGAGGTTTCGAGTTGTCCCGTACTAGCCATGCGCCCACTCTAGTACGCATGCATAAGTGTTATCCTGTAAAATGTGATTAACTTGATCCTTTCAATTTTCATTTCACTTGTAACATTTGGATACCCAGTGATGAATTAGATTTTTGTGCTCATTTGTAAGATGTTTATATACACTGTCTTTACTTGTTTTCGATGTTTTGTTTGTGTACGTACAAGTTAAGTGTACAATAAACTTCCCTTTTTCGCCCCTAAACGAGTATATGGGAGGACCGGCGCCTGGCGTGGCAACGCCTGCGTGACTCGACGAAATGAACGCGGGCGAGCACGCGCACCGCGCCACGTCGAATGACTGTGGCATGTAGTCATGTTTTCACATGACACACATCTCACGATTATCATGTTTGCACCAGTCACATGCCTTCGTCATCCATTGACGCCACGTAATACTAAATTTGGCAAGTGTGAAGCTAGCGAAACGGCCGCGAGCGCATCATGTAGTTATGTTGTTACATGACACGTATGTCATTATTATCATGTTTGAATGTGTCATTTACCAATGTCGTCCGTTCGCGTCGCGTAATACCGAGTTTGGTACATGTAAAGCTAGCGAAACGGTCGCGAGCGCATCATGAGCGTAGCATGTAGTCATGTTGTCACATAACGCGCATCTCATGTTCATCATGTTTTCACCAAAATCATACATTCGTCATCCATTCACGTCCCGTAATACCAAATTTGGTATAAGTGAAGCGAGTGAAACTACCGCCAGCGCATCATGAGCGTGTCATTGTCATGTTGTTACATGACACGCATCTCATGATTATCATGTTTGCACCACTCACATACCTTCGTCATCCATTCGCGTACCGTAATACCAAATTTGGTATATGTGACGCTACCTAAATGACCGCGAGCGAATCAGCGTGGCATGTAGTCATGTTATTAGATGACACGCGTGTCATGATTTTCATGTCAGGGTCTGTCACTTGTGTTCGCCATGCAATCATGCCATACCATAGCAGTTTTGCAACATGCCATGTGAACGAAACCACCACAAGAGCTGCAGGACCATGAAATGTAAATCATGACATTCATGACATCCATATTATGATTTTCGCATTATGACTAGTAGAATATGTTCTTTATACAGCCATGTTATGCCATACCAAGTTTGGTATCGATACCATTATCTAAACGGCCAGGAGAGCTCATCGTAGACGGATAGATAGATAGATAGATAGATAGATAGATAGATAGATAGATAGATAGATAGATAGATAGATAGATAGATAGATAGATAGATAGATAGATACGCTCAATGTCGCCGAAGTCTGCCAAGAAATGCTTCGCATTTAAAAGGCTGTTGCTTATGTGCATTGTAAACAATTCGTATCATAGTTATTGCAATCGTACGTGGTTCGCTCAAATGGGCCTAATCAGCAGTTAACAAGAGGACCAGTCTAATATATTTCGTTTCACGGTCGGGTTTGCAAAGTGACCACCAAGTCTTGGTGACAATATAGTTTTTCTCACACATAAATGGGAAAGAGCGCTAACGTTGGGTCTAGCATCTTGGAATGTTCGGAACAAAATGGCGCCTGCAGAAAGCTAACGTGGAGTGAAATCAGATATGCCAAACTATTACTGGTGTTTTAAGAAGCATTTATGCTTTAGGCAGTAATGAAGAACCTCTAGTCAAGATATTAAACCTTGAAGCCAATTAGTTAATATTTTTTAAGAAAGGAACGCGAACAGCCGAACCGAAACCAGAACTAGCGTTTTGTCACTTGAGATGCCCAAGTATCAATCTTTTAAATACTAGACATTCTAAAGTGGAATGCCCGTAGCGTGAGCGCAACACTATTTATAGTACAGAATACGGGACTCTGTGTATATTTGAGTACTTATTTACTGCACACGGCTATCAATGCACGGCGTAACGTGCGCAGCCCAGAGCCTCAGGGCACCAGCGCGGCCTCCTCCTCCTTTACAAGGTGCCGGGTGCATGCGCAATAGAAAATAGTTCGACACTCAGTCCTCGCTGGTCGCATACCGCAAAGCTTAACACATTTTGGGAGGCTATATTTACGTACAACTAAGATCATTTTGCGGGCTACGCACGTGTCAGTTTTCTTAATTCTTGTGTACACCTGGAGTCGGCTAAGAAAGCAGCGCCTGTACATGGCAAGTCAACAACCCGAGCACGCAGGCGTCGTGTTCCATTCGGGAGACGTTACGTGCGCGTGTGTGCGTGTTTTCGTGCGTTTTCTCGTGAGTGCAAGCGATCAAATCCGTGACTTTCGAGTGCGATTACTTTTCTAACCAGCGTTACACGACGCTGGCACTACGACAGATGCGGCCGGGCACATCGTAAGGTAGAATTCCTGTTCCCTGTATATATATTTTTTTTACTTTAGAGTGTTCTCCCAATGGCGATTCTGAAATGCGGTGTGACAATAAAAGCAACTTCGACTACTCTTCTAGCGTTAGATTCATCACTGCACCAATGCGGCGTTACTGTAGTTTGTGCATGCGCATTTTGCTTAATGATCATCATCAGATGGCGAGCGCTGCCTCGCACGCGCTCTTCGTGTCGAACGCCGCTCCTGTCTTCAGCACCTGCGCGTCGTTTGTGCGCCGACTGCCGTAAATCATCGCAGTTTAGGCTCGCCGTAGCACGTAAGCAGTCTAGCTGCTTTTGCAGAATTTGCGAGCGAGGGCAAAGCGCTGAGATCTGACGAGCATTCGTGCTTTGGTTTCTGTATTCAAGATAGCGGCTTTTTGGCGTAGTGTTCCATGGCTGTAACGTGCAGTGACCGGCGGTCAAATGCTGCTGTTGTTTTTGCACAGGCGCTGCCGCGGCGAAGTCTCATGCTTTTGCGGTCCGCTGCTGTTGCTACTGCTGCTGATAGCGTCGTGTGACGGTGCTCTTTGCCATCATCGGCTTGATGAGCGACAATCAGGATCTGAGCTTTGCCGTCGGCGCTGTGAACGCTGTGGGCGCCGTGAGACCAACCGAATCCCTGATGGCGGTGTCGGGTACGAACGGTGGACTGGATGCTCCGAACGTGTGCCGAGACTTCCTACGCAAGGTGACTGCTTTATTGTGCTCGTTAGAGGGAAGCACCACGGCGTTTCGTGAGATGTGCACTTGATGAAACGGCGATCGTACTTGCGTGCGTCGCAGCATGTTAACGCGTAGCGATAATGCACGCGCACATGGGAGTCGATCGATCGACGCTAGCCGAGATGCTAATTTAATGCTGTAGTTTTAGTTTCCCCCGTCTTTGTCTGCGATCGTACCGAGGAATTTTTAGGCGCCCTTCGTTAGTTTCGTCTTGTTACATTGCAAAGGGAAATTTAAAGCAAAAAGGACTGTGCTCACATCCTTTCGAAACACGATGGGCATGCCTACCATTAAACCAAACATACTCAGGACTTTGCTACGGTTCACTGTATCGGGTGCGAAGCCTTCTCCATATCCAAGGATTTCTTTAGTGCCACCTGTTACTTTATCCTAGTACGTTTGTAGTCAAGAGTTAACCACTTGCTTCAACTAATTAGCAACCGTGGGCTAAGGGAGGGAGATTCTGTAAAGTGCTTAATCAAAACAAAGCTAAGGTCGTGTGCGCGTGAGACGCATATATTTTCTAGGAGACGATTTCTGGATATTTAGCAAGAAAAAAAGAAATGTTCTCCGCTGTAAGTGGCCTCTGTTATCCACGGCACTGCAATTGCTTGCGCGCATTCTCTTGAGCCTTCAGGTGTGTCACCGAGGCAGCCGCTGCAAGTTTGTGCATCCTGAGGGAATAGACAACGATGACATCCGTGGCACCATGGAGCCAGTGTTCTGCCACGATTTCCAGAACTCCGAGTGTCTGCGACCAAACTGCAAATTTCTTCACTGCACTCGTCAGGTGAGTTGGAAGTGCCCCATATTGGAAGGAAATGTACACACGTTGCTAGGGTTCAGGTTGAAGGAGGGTGTACTAGCTGGCAAAGGTATACAGTGTAGTGCGCCATGCCTTTAGTGTGTATCCATGTCTTCTTCGTTCTGCTTTTTTTTTTTTTGAGATTGCTTGATTTACAGTACTGTAGAGTGAAAAAAAAAATGCAGACAGTACACATGGTTGACAAGTATGCAAGGCAAAGCTGGCATGCAGTGCTCAAGTAAATGCTGCACAAGTGTTCACCTTCTGTGTGGAACTAAACAGCACAAAAAGTGTGTACCTGCCTGGCAGGATGACAACAAATTGGCACATGCGTGCCCTACAATACAACTACTTTCTAGTTTCAGGCATTGCCCCAAATTACTGTAACAATCGATAGTATCGGGGCGCTGTGCTATGGCATGTCGTCTACAGCATTGGCGAACATGGTACCTTTGTCGCACTGTCAATTCAATGTTATTGACGCGAAATTATGTTCATTTGTAGTTTTATTCATTTGGTGCCAGCTCTGAGAAGTAATGAAAGCACGTTCAACCAAATGAACTTGTTCACATGTGAATTGTGACCGAATGTGTAGGCAGTGGAGTTAGAGTGACTGAACATAATTACTGAACATTTTTGCATCTTGTAAATAAAAGTCCTTCAGCCCACTCCACTAATTTGCTGGTTCGTTGGCATAAAAGTGCACCAGAATTTTTTTGCCAGTAAATACTCTAAGTATCAGTGGTGATCGTGTTTTGTTTAAGCAGTGCTGTTGTGGTTGTTTTCTGCTGTGGTTCGGTCTATTTTCATATGCATAAGAGACATGGTATGCAAATCAAGTCAAATGGCCGAGCTTATGTACTTCAATCAAACTGTCGTTATTAATTCTTTGAGGGCTCAATATTTTTGTCAAATGCTTACCATAAGGGTCGATTGTTTTATTGCAGATTTAAAATGCTAAAACCATGCTATTTTGAAAAAAATTTCCCAAATTTTTCTGGCTACAGAAAGTGAGCACAAAAATATTTGACTTAAGTATAGAGGGGCTGCTTATTCATAAACAATAAAAATGAGAAAGAAGCCTATATTTATAACTGGCTACGTATGCTCATTGGAACAAACATGTCTTACGAAAAAAAAATATATATATGAAAACCAGGTTACTGTCATTTTTGCATCAATCAGTCTTATTATATATACATCCACTCCTTGGATAAGTACTCCTCTGTCAGATTCCAGTTTTGAATTAGCGATTGGTGTCTCAGTGGGTGACATTTAATCAATTTGAGTCCTGTTTGGCTTTGGGGAAGTAGCCATGATAGAAAGAATCGTTGCATGACTCGCCCGCAGGAGGAAAACGTGCGTGCATGCCCACGTCATTGTCTATGTGTATTTGAGTGCATGTATGAAAACAATATGGCACTGTGCCCTTCACAGAATCCTTGCGTTTAGGCATGGATTGTGCTTAAATCAAGGCCTAAAGGTTAAATCCATCCTTAGGTTTTGCTGAAATTTCTGTATTAGAAAAAAAAAAACTTATGAAATGTTAGGTTTTCAACAAGCAATTGGATTTGAAACTTGTTTATGTGCTATACTTGTGCAGAAATTGAATTCATTGTGCCTGGTGCTCAAAGGGTTGTATTGCAGTAGCAATGTTTGTTTCTCAAAGTCCAGTACGTGCAGTCATGGTTCACACACGTCCAGCCCTATGTGGAGTCTCATCAGCGCTAAAGACTAGTCGCTGTTGGCTGTGTCTTCAGTTTTTGTTCGCAGAGGGCAACAGGCATCTGGAACAATGTAGTTTTGCTCATTTGTTGCGTCAAAGCGTGACAACGGTGATATAAATGACAAAATTCTGTTTGCCCAAGTGTGAACCACTAAGGCTCACTAGGCCATAGTAGAGCTAGTGTTTGACTTAGGTTTTTTGCAAGTTTCTTGAGATGCTAAGTTTTTGTCAGGAGTACCAAGTATTGTTAGGCTGTTTTTCTCAAGTTTCTTGAGATGCTAAGTTTTTGTCAGGAGTACCAAGTATTGTTAGGCTGCACTATGCTTCTCTGGTTTCGGTCAGCTCTCCAACACTTTGCACATGTCACATGGTTTTGGTAAGAGCATGTCATGTGACTTGCTGTTTACAGTTCTTGGTCGGAATATGCCACATCACCAGTTATGTGATTGTAGTCGTATAACTGAAGGTCAAGTGATAAGTAATTTTTGGTCTCGTGACTACTAGTTCCACGTTTTTGGTCGTGCCAATAGATGCCTTGTGATGTTGCAGTATTTTAGTCACGTGACTAGCTGTTACGTGGTTTTGGTGGGAAGATGTCGCGTGACTAAGTGTTTGTGTTCTGTAGTTGCGTGACCAGCTGCTATGTGGTTTATGGCAGGAACATTTCACGTGACTAGCTGTTACGTTGATAGCTGTTATGTAACTTGATGTGATGTGACTATGGTTACTCGAATTTAGGACGGAATGTCACGGGATGTCTGGTCTCGTGAGTAGTGGTTACGTGATGTTTTGTGATTTTAATCACGTGAATTTTAATTTAATGTTATCTGACTAGTTATTATGTAATGTTATGTGATTTAGTTAAAGTGAATAGATGTAGTTTTTGGTCACATTGCTAGTTCATAAGTGATGTTACACAATTTTAGTACTGTGACTTACTACTTGATCTTTGGTCAACATATTTGCCCATCGCAGTTGTTGCATTCCGCAGCTGGAAAAATAAGCACATGTGTTGTGGGATTGAAGCAAAAGGTGACGACCAATCGAGTGTGCACTGCTTCATTTCTGTTTTCGTTAGTCAGCCCCGCCGCAGTGGTCTAGTGGCTAAGGTACTCGGCTGCTGACCCGCAGGTCGCGGTATCGAATCCCGGCTGCGGCGGCTGCATTTCCAGTGGAGGCGGAAATGCTGTAGGCTCGTGTGCTCAGATTTGGGTGCACGTTAAAGAACCCCAGGTGGTCGAAATTTCCGGAGCCCTCCACTACGACGTCTCTCATAATCATATCGTGGTTTTGAAACGTTAAAACCGACAAATCAATCAATCAAATGTTTTCGTTAGTCAGCGCAACAAAAAGATTTAACAGTTCTACTGTTCAAGCTTTTCACAATTCTTCACAATGGTTCTACTGTTCAAGCTTTTCACAATTCTTCACAATGGTATGGGCAAAGGCGTTTCCAGAAGGGGAGCTGTTTGTGTAATTTCTATAGCAGCGCAGTGGAAGACTGTAAATGAGCTAAAGATTCCAAAGACGGTTAGGCTCATGTTATACCGATGGGATCACATAGATACTTTTGATCATGTGATCAAGGCCGGTTCATATTAGGGTCTAGCTGTGCTAGGTTCTACTGCATGGTCACACTTAATTGTGGTCAGTGGGATCAATACGATTCCAATCTGTGCATCATGACCTGACTCCGTGATTGCGATTTGGCTCACGTCAGTGCCAAACTCAACCAGGATAAGGCTGTACCATGCAGCAGTGATTACCTTGTTATCACGATCTTGAAGCCCAATTCAGATAGGCCCCGATTGTGATAGAGTGCCCATGAATCACTGGTTTTAAAGAACCCCAGTGTAATCTGTAGCCCCCCTCTGCAGTTTTTTTCATAACACATCGTGTTTTGGGATGTAAAACCCCAACCATTGTTATCAGTTGACAGTTTCATACAGCGTCCAGTGTATTCTGGAGCCCCCCCCCCTCCCCTCTGTAGTTTCTCTCATAATCACATCATTGTTTTGGGATGTAAAACACCAGCAGTTCTTATCACTCAGCCGTTTCATATAGCGTATCAGTCCTGTCAAGTGTACCACATTTTAGTACACTGTATTAGAGAATGCTTCATTTAGCAGCAGTTTTATGTACACTCAAACCTCGATATAAGGAACCTAGATATAACGAAATAAATGGAACATAGCTCTGTCATAGCTACAACTATATGTTTATAACGAATTTTCGGATATAATGTATTTTCGTGCAGGTGGGACTTTGTTGTAATGAGGTTTGAGTGTATTCATTTGTTAATTAGGACTGCGGTGGAACCTGTTTGAGAGACATGCACGGGGAGCTAGTCTTGTCCCTGACATGAGCCTTACGTGAGGTGTCTTTTATAAGCAGGGTACTAGTTTCCCACTTCCTGATCAATTCCTATTTTAAATTCGTCTTTTAGATCGGTATCTTCACAAAGTGGTTCAACTGTTATTAACCAAAGAAAACATTTGCAGAAAGCAAATGATATAGAAATTATTGTGTCAGAAGCAAAATATTTGAAAAACATTGGAAACATTGAAAAATAATTCGGTGTTGAAGGGCTTGCGTCTGCTTGTGTATGCCTTGCACAGGAGGAAGAACTGTTCCGCACAACAGGGCGCTTGCCACCATCGGCTGGGGGCGTGTCAGAGCCGCCACAGGTGGTCGGCTTGATCCCGCCCGTTTGCAAGGATTTCCTGAAAGGAGACTGCCGCCGTGCAGGCCGCTGCAAGTTCCGGCACCTAGGTGAGGAGGAGCCCGAAGCCAAGCGACGGGCCTTGGACGATGAGATGGGCTATCGGGTGCTGCAGCAAGAGAATGCCATCCTACGCCGCAAGGTCGGCCGTCCCACTCCCTATTCCCGATTTTTGCAGCATTAAAGGCCTTTTCACTGCCCGCCGGGCACTCACCGTCCCCCCACTCGTGGCTCTCTCTCTTACCTGGGCTGGGGGCGCAAGCGCGAGGTGCAGTGCGGCAAAGAGCGCAGTTAGGGCCTGAATGCGATGAAAAAAGCGGCATATGCATACGCTAAGAGAATATTGTGACGGGCAAAGCATATTAGAATGCAAAGCAGAAATGTACGCGAAATGGCGATGCGAAAGTGCACACGAACGCTACTTTAGAAGCACGATGTAAGAGCATGTAGCTATGGTAAACTGTCGATGCTAGGCGAAACCGCAGGTGGAGGTGCGGCAAAATTGCATTGTCGTTTTGTGTGGAGTACGCACAAGCAAGGGCAGTGCACGAGTGCGCATACACGCATCTTTAGTAGCGCGTTGCAAGGGCGCGTGGCAATGGCAAACTGTGTCGCAAAGTTGCAAGCGGACGTATGGCGCAAGGGCAGCGCAGTGCTGCGTGGCGAATGCGTGGGCGAGAGCGTTGCAGCGTGGCGAAGTGTGCAAGTTTTAGGCAAAAGCGTGCTTGAAACTGCGAGCGGCACTGCAAAAAGCGCGGCGCAGAAGAGTGCGAAGGCTGCGAAATTTGACAGGTCCCGGATTCTGAACGGTGGACGAACTGCTGCAGCAACGTGTGTATTTGGGAAACCCGGAGAGCAGCATAAAGGCACATTTTAGTTGTCGCGAAGTGAGCTTGAGGCACGGCAGATGACTTGGGAAGTTTCAGCGTGTCGCCACGAAACATAACCTGTAAGTTGTGCTTATGCTGCTGAACATTATTGAAGAAAGCTTAAGAGTGGGGTAGAGAGAGAGAGAGAGTGCAATGGACGGTGCAGTTGTGCTAGTTGATTGCCAACTAACCTCTGTAACATGCATGTTTTATTATAAATTTTTCGTTATTTGGTCCTGTGTCAGATTACATTGTTACAACAATGCAAATGAGCTTTAGTCTCTATTATAAACATGCTTTTCTTACATGTCTGAATATTTAGGTGCTTTTTTCTCGCCAATAAAAGGTCGTCAATCTCAAAATGGAAAAGTAGTGGCCATCTTTGGAACTTGCTCAATAGTTTAGCTTTTCTGAGTAGTATGTATACCCAGGAATTGCACGTATAGTGATCATACAGATCTTGTAACAGAAAAACATATTGACATCTTGGCAGCCTGTTTGGTTTTCAGTGCCTCCAGGGCTACAGCTCAATGCAGTGGCATTGCAGGTGACAAAGCGTGTTTAAGCAAGCGCCAAAATGTTGGCAATGCTCTTCTTTGACATGATTGCCTTATCTGAAATGAACAGCTTGTTGGCAGAAAAGATGGCTTACAAATATGTCTGAGCTTTGAGGACGCTTCATATGGTGCAGAAAAATTTAAAATTAAGAATGGAAGTATGTCGGTACACCTTTCAGTATTAAGTATCATGAAGCAACGGCATTGGCAAGTCTGACTTTTGTCAAACATTTTGTTTTGCGTGAGACAATCCTGTTATGAGCCAATATAAGCTTTAAAGTTTAGCTTTTCTTTTTTTTTTCATCTTCTTACATTGCTACAAATCTATTATCTAAATGAGAGACAAGATGTTTGTCATACAGCAGTTGTAGATACATGTGAAAGAAGATGGAGCAGTGGCAAGCTCGCATAAGCCTATATATACTTAGATTGGTTTTACATGCGGAGCTTTATTTACCTTTTTTTTTTAGTTGTACTGTGATATTGTGAATGAATGCAAGCTGACAGAAAGCTTAGCATGCAGATTAAATTAGTTAATTGTGTCCTAAGAAATATGAAGTTCATTGATGACCTATTCTGTACTATTCCCCATCCTGAAATAGGGTAGTAACAACCTATGGAAACTCCCTGGAACATACCATATGTCTTTTTTTTTTAAAATTTCTTAACGCAATCTTAATACTTGGGACATGTACGTCTAAAATTCTTGCACTTGTCTTCCCATCTTGTAACTGGCAGGGGTGAATCACACTTCGACAGCACTACTAGCCTATTTATCGAGATGACACATGGTTGGATTTCACCAACTATTCCCTTGTGCAGTTTTGGTTTCACTCAAAACTGAGGCTTGGTGTGTGATACATTTCGATAATCCATTTAAAAACTCTGACATTTATTTAACATACTACTTCTATATAAAAATGCAAATTCCCTACTTCCTGAATGACTACATGTGAATGGGTATGTACTCAATATAAATGCCAGGTAGTGAACTACCAGGCCCTTGAGCAGTCTTGGTCAGTGTTACCAGTGTAGGGAGAAGTCTCATTAAATAAAGCAATCAATAGAGCTGACTAGGTAAAAGCTTTTTTTTTTTTTTGCAGTTCCTCATTGATGAAGCATTTGCACTGCCCTACCACATGCTCTTCAGAGTGTCGCTTTCTTATTTTTTGTCTAAATAGGTAAAAAGATAAGTAGGAAATAAACTAGTGAAATATGGGCTAACAATTTGAAAATCCTAATATGTAAAAGGCATGTAGGAAGCCATTGAAATGAAGAAATGAGCTATGGACAAATGGACTAACAATCTGAATTTTATTATGTAAGAAATAATAAAATAATAAAATTCAGATTGTTAGTCGATTTGTCACCTATGCACAGCTCCTATTCCAACAACTTTGTGGAAGTTATTTGAACAGTGCTCCAACAGCTTTCGCAAAGCTGTTAGAACAGAAGGTGTGCACAGGTTTGGATGATTTGTTTCAGTATTTTGCAGAGTTTTTTGTCAGTGCGCTGTTGACCACTCCTCAGACCGTTGAGTGTGAACAGGCATGTCTTGCTGTTGCCTTTAGGGCTTTTAGTTGTGCTCACACAGGCCTACAGCATAGACACTACAAAGACATCCAGGTAGCTCCACGCGCACGAGTGATGCATTAAAGCATTAACACTTTTATGGACTGGCCTTTCGTGTGCTCACTAAATCAGGAACTCGCAAGGCTGGCTAGAAAAAAAAAATTCGAACTGTGGCTTAGTTCCACAGAGCAGATCGATTACCTCGTATACTTGTTACCATGTTTCAAAACAAATATGTTTTAGCAGTCTAGCCTTTGCATGCAATGTTAAACACTGCTTTTAAAGCCGTTGACTCTAATCCATGGCACGTCCATGCTGTAGTCACAAGTTAATATTTCGGTGGTCTGATAGCTTTCAACACAAAAAATGTTACTAATAGAAGTGTGCCATCTTGTTAATCCTACGTGCACAAAGCAAGCAAAATTCCTTCCTAGATCCGTAAAAATTTATGTATGCCTATATCGCCCGTCTCACAGGTGGATGACTTGAAGAAGCAAGTGGCTGACCTGATGGCCACCAACGAGTTCCTGCTGGATCAGAACGCAGCATTGCGGCTGAGCAAGCAGTCGCCCGCTGGCACTCAGCCACTTGGCGTGATTCCCACGGCGGCTGCGTTAGGGCCCGTGACACCGTTGGGTGGCACAGCCGACCTGACTTCCACACCGCAGAGCATGACACCCATGATGCCTGTGGTGCCAGTGTCGATATCGTCCAGCCTGCCAGCTTCTCTTTCACAGAGCCTCGCGCAAACCATAATCACCATGAGCAGCCCGTCTGCACCCCTGGTTTCATACCCTGTCATGACTCAAAGCCTGCGCCCAGTCATTGCTCACCGCATGACTCATTAGGCCCGCCCCAAGTGACGGCCCATGTTCCCGATCTCTTTTGCACAGTCTGGATTGTGTGACGGGCGCACCTCTTGGTCGAGGCAAGGGCCGAGTGTTCTTGCCAAACGCCTCTGCCTAATTCCGAGGCGTTGTCTTGTTGGTATGGACATATTCTGCTGCCGCATGGCAGGTGTATTTGATGCTGGTAGTCTTACTGCTGTGTTGGCCCCGACACAAAAATCCGGACGGGTGATACAGAGGTCATTTCTCTACTCCACCTACATTCACTTTCCCCTCTCCGAGTTTCTGTGGATAAAAGCCATTCCTTCCCAGATTTTGCGGTGTGAACTCGGATTTCAACTCACCAGCTCTCCTGCTGCCATTGTTGTGTCTGATGCCAAGGGGGAAGCTGTATCATGAATGATTTTAGACGTGGTGCAAATGTTGTGAGCTGGTGGCTTGGAAGGAAACCAGATGCAGTCTTGTCCTGGTTGGGGAAAAAAAAAATGATTGCCAGCATTGTAAATTTTGGGCGATTGTCAGAGCCAAACTGTTTATTTTACAAATGGATTTTTTTTGTCGTTAGGCATGATGTATTCTTGGCTTTTGGTCTGGTACAACATATATTAAGTGGGCGTATTTAGTTTTGTCACGTCATGTTGGCTGTTGCAAATTGTGGTACAATCACTAACACGCATTATTGCAGCTGGTTTCATCATGCATGCTACTCTTCATTCTTTCATACTTTTTTTTTTTCTCATGCTTCATACTGGCCACAACAAACCACTAGAGCAACCATCTCTACAGGGGTGCACCTTCATTAAATTGTTTGATATATTATACCTTTTTGTACATTCACAAATGAAATAGAATTGTGCTTTCTTTGGTGCTGTAGTGTCCCATTGCACTTCTTTTGCTTTAATCTTTTTTCATTCATGCATTATGTAGTCTCTTGAACCACCTTGCTTACGTGTTTTGGTATTCTTGCCCACGCAATGCCTTATCGCAGTCGTTACACAGTTTATTGATGTGAGGGGAGCACTGTTTGAAAAAGAAAAGTTTGCAGACCGCATATCGGTAGACCGAATTGCATTTAGCTTCTCAGTGGCTCCCTATTTCAGGTGAGGTGCGGTGTGTTCAATCTGCACTTCGACCTTTAGACAGGGGTGCCCACCTGGCGACTTTTTTTCCCACTGAAGATAACAGCAAAAGTGCGAATTTTGCTTGTTTTAATATAAAGTGAAATTGCAAATATTGTTTATCAAGCAGTGGGCACTACAAAAGCTTACAAATGTTTTGGCCTTGTTGTTTTTCATGTGCGGTGTGCATATTCACACAGCGTGCAACACAGGCTTCGTGTGAAGGCACAGAGTGGACACAATGCAGTAGGTAGTTCTCAAACCAGTGTACCGTGTCACTACAGTTCGATCAACGCTCAAAATCATTCACTACTTCTATCGGTGGAAGCTGTGAACCTGTTACAATGCCGTATTTTCTTTTTTTTTCTTTACAAAAGTAGGCGTGTCGTAGTTAGAGAAAGTGCTGCGAAATGGTGCTTTGGCAAGCCGTACTTACCGTAGTGGATTGTGTTGGCAACCTGTAATTCAGGCAGCTGGTTGCCTTTGCTATCTCGGGGATTGCTTGCATGTTTAGCGAATCTTTCACGTTGTGTCCTGCGAATTTCTGTGCTTCCGGAGTCTGCTTCGCCACTATACATAACAGGTTGTACTACAGCATGCGTGAGCAAATTGTGATTGAAGCCTACTGTTTAGTATGGCTCACTTGCCCCTGAATTGTTTTGGAATTCGATAATGCCGGTGCCAAACGTTGCTACATCTGACACCACTTTTAACAGTGATTACTTGTAGTTTTAGCTCTGGATAGATGCTAGATCACCACTTGAAGATGATTGTGTTGACTGCTGGCTGGCAAGACTTTGACTCCTTGACTTGGTGGGCAGTGTCATTGCTGTGCAGTGAAAGTACAGTAGAACGCTGTCATTATATTTTCAGGCTTTTTTTTCCCCTTTCAGTCTCTCTGAATATTGAAAAATACCCCCTGTAGACTTGCACTATAGCTGCACCCTCACCTTTGAACAAAGAATTTTTGCCAGCAAGCATGTCTAGGTTTGATTAATTTCTGAGCTGCACTTGAAAATTTTAGACAAGGCTCGGTCTTTTTGTAAATAACATGCAGCATGTCTAACTTGGCTGCATCAAGCCATAGACGCAGTAGTGTGTGAGTATGTTTCACGTTTGCCCGTGTCGAAATTTCGTACAAACTCACCTGAAAGAATATGGTACTGTGATTTGTCTGGCATCCTTCGAAGTAGTAAATGCTACAGCCTTTGAATTGGAATTTGTTGGCTTGTGTATTGACTTGAGAATTGCTTTCTTCAGAATAGTAGTTGGTCCTGAATATAGTATATTGCTTTGCTCGCTGCATTGTTAAAAAAAAAAGTGCTTTTTATAGGTTTCAGTGTACATTTCCGTGCACTTCGTCTTTCTGATGCAGCTGCAGTGTGAATGAGAGCAACTAGGCTTGTGTGAATATTCGAATGAATACTAATGGATTCAAATTATTTTCAATTCGAATTTAAATTATCGGATATTTCAAGGTGTTCAAAATAAAAAAAAAAAGCAATTTATTGCAACTTTTTGTAAAGGTAGTTTCGCTGCAGTGGAGGAGTGCCGTACTGTAAATACACCTTTCCAGGAAAAATCTGCACTGCCACGAAGTCCTACTTTAAGGTTGAACAAACATATCCCTCTCATCAATTCTTTCCATTTTTAACTTTAAGGCTTGTTAATGCTGGCTCATACGCGTTAAGCATAACAAACCTTAAGATGTACCATTTTACTGGTTGTTGCTAGCATTAAGACAAATGCTGCTACTTAAAGTTCTACCACTTCCTCTGAATCAAAAATGACATTTATGCATGCATTGTTTCAATTAAAAAAATATTGTGCAGGTTATTGTGGTCGCGACATATATGCTCATTTTTGTTGCTAGTATGTGATATATACTTTTCAAATTCGATTTGAAATTATTAGAACTAAATCATAATTCGCTACGAACCTAACATTTACTCTGCACTAGCCTGGTAGCAACTCCTTATTCGCGAGCCGACAAACATTTATTTCACAGCTTGAAAGTCCTGACCTGGCTGACATTTATTATGTCTGCAAAAGTCATAGAAAATATAAATGCCGTTGAGCCTTAGTGCAGTTGATACTCTATTTAACAAAGTGATGCCACAGATTTAGTTAAATCGAGAAGTTTGTGAAACCTGGAAATGAATTTTTGTGTCCTTGGAAATGTAAAATTGTGACATAGTGACACCTGAAAGCTACCGCAGAATTGTACTTGCCCCTGACCCACTCCTGCGCCTGAAAAAAGTCAGCAAAGGCGGCCAGCAAATGCAAGCATTCACGCCCGATCGATGGAGGCCACATCATGTGAAGCTTATCACAGGCATTGATAATGGCATTCACAGGATTTCTTATTAGGGGAGGGGGGGGGGGGCGAGGGTTTCATGCGCCCGCCTATGGGCTCCGATATGCAAAGATGGGCAGAACGAAAGCAGTGGTTGTGCACGAACGTGCCAAGCAAAAAAATTGAGGCAACAATCGGTGCCACCTGTCGCATAAGTAATGGAATAACAAAAGCGACTGCTCTGGTGTTCCTGCGGGAGCATTTAAAGGGACAACAAACCACTGCTGCTCCGAGCGCCGCCTGGTACTTAGCGTTATTGGCTGCCGGGTCCAGTGTTCTTTGCATGGGTGTGGCATGCAGCCACATCAAAATAAAAATTAAAATTTAAGTTGTGACTTGAGCAACTAACTATATGTGATACCGCGATAGTGTTGGAGTGCATGCTCGAAGAAAAACAAGTGGTTAAAATTAGGTAAAAATCCCCAATTTTTACTAATTTGTTTCAGGAAAAGTTTTATTAAGTCGGGTTTGGTGCCAGGTTAGCTTCGTAAACTTAGGTCGATGAGAACATTGAATGCCATCAGTACATGCCGGAGAATGGGAATCTGAAATTTCCTCGACTGGGAACCTCATAAAGTAGTTTAATTGTATATTGAACATTCATGACCACTTGGCTTTCCTGGTCCATTGGGCACTGTGTGATTTGAACCATATGTGTAAGAAGATCAGATATGAATAAGTGCTGTTTCTCATGTTTAATTTTTGATATATGAAGGGAGCCTTGCAACACTTGTTCAGCAGGGTCGGTAAATGCTGCTGTTCGGTAGGTAATCAATGCTCCTGAGAACATGCGAGCCAAACGTTATAGCGCAGCACGTGGCTTGCAATTCACTACAAGTTCTCCAAGTCGACTGAAAATCGCTCCCGCATCTCTCAACAAATGATGCCATCTACTCAGTTGACTGCGCCATATACCCATACTCGCGGCCATTGGGTGAATTGAAAGTTACTGCGGCCATTATGCGTCTGCGATTATCCAGGAAATAAGCCGCACATTCTTATAATAAACAAACGTGATGCAACTTATTAGTGTGCACATTATGCAACTTATTTTCCTTTATGCTATCCCTTCCTACTTGGCTTCCTGTGTGTTCGTGAGGGAAAGAGGAAAGAAAGCAATGACACTGTGCAGCAAAGTTCTGTTAGACTGAAAATTGTGGCAGTCAATTCGTGAGGCAATAAACTCCTTTAATGATGCCATTTGACGATAACTCGAAAAAGTGTTGCAGGGTACCTTTAAGAAGAGATTCTTAATGTTGCTTATACAGAAGGATTTGAAGTTTGTGGGTTTGTTGTAGGTATATTTGCGTTTTGCCGAGTATTCTGCCAGTTGAACAGTCAGAAAGGGGCAGCAGGTAAGTAGTCGAATTTGTATTGTGCTGCAAGCCATCAGCTGAACAGGCTTAGTTGATAGCCTGTATAATTTGACATAGAGAACATGTTGTCAGAGTCCGCCATGCCTAGCCGTTGGCTGTTTTCAAGGGTCCTTGAAGTATGCGAGAAACTTAATAAGCTGAAGAATAGAAGAGCCCCCGTGCTCGCCCTGTTGTGTGGAGCACCAATACAACTGCTGCACTTTGCAGTGCACGTAGACACCTCACACAGGCTTCCTTAGTTTAAGTAATTAAAGAAAAAGTGGTGACGGTGGCAAATCTTACATGCCAACCAAATTCACTCACCATCTTCACCTTCACACATGCCACCAGAACAAAATGTCACCTTTGCAGTTCTATAGCTTTTCTTTGGGCTGCATGTAACATCTGTCCTCAATAATGGCAAAAATGTAGTCAAGATATGCTTTCAGTCAACTTCATGTGACGCGTGCATGGAAATGGAGAAAAAAATTGACGCACCTAGGATACCTTCTTGGATCTTTTAGAAGCATAATCGGTGAATTGATGCTATTTTTCAACAAAAAGTATTACAATTTATAATATGTCACATTAAAACTACTACATAGCATAAATTAAATGGAACATAGTAAGCTGACGTACATAAATCGATATACAGTAAAACCCCGTTAATTCGAAGGCACTGGGGCCGCAAGAAAGCTTAGAATTAAGCGTATTCTCGAATTAACAGAACATAGAAAAAGTGGGATGCATGGAACAACTATTTAAACTAATCAGTGCTCGTCGTTTGCTGTGCCGGCTAGCTTGCGGCTCCAAAGGTCATGTTTTTCAGCGATACCTTGGCTTTATTTTGCCGCCGCGATCATAGAGGAACGGTGGGCCTTGCTGCTGCTTCCGGAAAAAAAAAAAGAAAACGCGGTCGTGATCGACTGAAATGTGCGCCTGCAGAAAACAAGACATCATCACTGCAACACAGTAGTGAGACGCGGGCAGCATGTCGCCTTCTCCTCGTTGCGTCAGCACGTCATGATGCGACCATTCGCACATTATTTCTATTATAATAATAAATTTAATAATGGCCAGTATGACAAAGCTCACAATGTGTTTTGGCTGGAAAAAAAATGATCTTTGAAACTTTCGAATTTCGTTTTCGAAGCAGGTGTTGCTGGCAAGAACTCCGCCAGCAGTGCAAAGACGCGAATTGCTGGAGCAACGGGCAATCGGAGGTTCGCATACATCGCGATTTCCGCTAAACTGTTATTCATTAATTTATTTACAATCGCAGAAAAAAATAGGTAAACCATGACCCGCTGACGCTGCGAGAAACACGCAATAAGCTGCCCGCGTGTCACTGCTGTGTTGCAGTGAAGCACGGCTCGTTTTCCGCAGGTGCATGTTTTGGCGGATCACGAGACCGGTTTTTTTTTGCTTTTTTTTTGCAATAAAGTAGCGAGACTGGGGTGCTTCAGCTGCCACTCATTGGTATCAATACGTTACATTGCCTTGTGGTAATTAATGGCCGTCGTTTTCGCGGCGAAATTGAGATATGGAAATGGCACATGGTACCCAAAGTTTACTGGTGCCGGCCGCCGCTTCAAATTATCCACTCTAACTTACATTGGAAAATACGGGACCTGCAGAAATCCTACGAATTAAGCAGGATTTCTAAATAACCGAGTTAGAATTAACGAGGTTTTACTGCAAATGAGTTGTTAGCGAAGCATATGACTACAATTCTATTTTACTGTGCCACTTTATCAGTCGGGAATGAAAGAAAAACACTAAGCATGCCTGTGTGGAACACACAGCTCAGTCGCTGCGAAAGATAGAGTGCCCTTTCTCGAGCCTGTCGCGAACTCTTTAGCGGCGACTACTGAAAGAACAGGTACAAGGTATGCCCACTATACAACGATTCCTCCCGGGAAAAAAAAAAAATGAGAGAGAGAAAAAGGTACCTGCTTAACATTGCGAGGCGTTTGTGGGCTTTGTTGATGCTGTTGCTGATAATGGAGGATGGCCGAGACTTGCAATGGGTGGGATGCTTTAAACCAATAACAGCTCGATCCGGTGTGCAGTGTGACCACCCTTACAACACACGTACGCCCCTCCCCCTCTCTCCTCGCAACGCCGATGCAGGCAGAGTCTGCTGGCCCACGTTCTCTCCCCCAGCTCTCCTCTAGGCATCCCTCCCAGCGGCGTTTTCACACCCATCGCGCATCCACGTCCCCTCTCCTCTTCTACGCTCCACCCTTTCTCGCCTCGCAATGCCAACGCAGGCAGCGTCTGCTAGAGAGTTTGGTTGAAAAACGAATTGCTCGAGCACAACCGTTCACTGGTCACCCCATATATATATAGGCACTTCATCTTTACCTCCAAGGTAGTGCCGGTGGGATATCTCTCCTGTGCGTTGTAGAACAATAAAAATTTGCAGTGTGCGCGTCGACTAAAAGCGGACTACGGGCCTCTGTGTCCAATCCGAGTCTTCTGTCTCTCACGAGTCATTACCCATTAGGAGCGATTGGCATGTTTTAGTAAGAAACACCGGCCTATCACTGCGTGCTTTGCGACTCCCCAGGTTTCTTTCCTGCGCAACACTGCGATGAGCGCCAGTCGTCACATCGCCGCCAGTGTAAGCATTAGCCCCCGTTGCCTTCGCATTTACACATGGTTCCTTTAACGGAGAAGCTCAATTTTTCGTAAAGGAGTTTCAAGCACCAGCATCGCTCTCCTGTAGAATACTCAAGTGCCAAGACAAATCCTGGGTTCGATCCCTTTTGATCCTGAATAGTTTTTGGAGGGTAGCTCGTGCCTTAGTGCAATTGCTAAAAATTATACTTTAGTGTAATTGCCAAATGCTTTGGCATTCGATATTGATGCTTCACCTTTCTGGCAGCAGCACGAATATTTTTGTGCAGCACTCTGAATTCGATAGCAATGACCGATTAAATGGGTACCAACAAAACTTCATGCCCAGGATAGCCTGCAAGATTGATTTCGTGAACATGCATATATTATCTGCAAAATAGCAGCAGTGAATATCACTTGGTATTTTACATTAATTTTGAAGTGTGAAGATATTGACACCACGTGGTGATCTCTTTACTTCCCTCATGTCGCTACGCTGAAGTCAATAAAACAAGTTACGATGACTTCATAGACCATTTTTTTTATTGCATTTGTTCCAGCAGTCTAGACTTCTCGGCGGATGCTCTCGAGTCCACAGGCCATGGTGCACACATCGGAAGTTTTGTGTTTCGTGACACTGCTGTTCAGTTTTCTATTCGAAAGGACATCCAAATACAGACAATGCAGAAGTGCATCACAGTTTTGTGTGCTGACGTGGTTGAGCGCTGCACGCGCTAGGTGGTGATAGTTGCATCCGATGGCTTGTCGTGCTTGGAGCTGTCTCCAATCAAAACTGGTCGGCAATGAAGAGCCTGTAATTAATTATCTATTGCATGCTGCAGCAAATGATGTGCCGTGTTACGACCAGTAGGTCCTCGGCAACACATGGCAGCATGTGAGGCCAGAATTTTTGCGCCAGTACTTTATGCTAAGGCATAAACCAAATTTCCTCTCATTAAGCTGCAATACAATGTTTGAAACAAGTGGATCGCTCCGCATGTTAATTAGATGAAGCTCAAGAAGCAGTTGGCTGGCACTGATCATAACCACCGATTCTCAAGTTCAGTTCGATCATCAACCAGCGTGCTGAATGAGCTCTCTTAATACATACATGCAAATGTTTTTCAATCTCGCATGTATTTTTTGTATGTACATACACATGCACAAACAAATGTTGGTTAAAGGCTTGCGAGAGGCTCTGATGATGAGGTCAGCACCACATTCGAGAGGTATCTTTGTCTGAAATCGTGCAACTGGGTAGCACCTCAATGTTCTTGCAGTGTCTTTGTATCTAAAATTGGGCAGTACTGCAAGCAGTACTTTAACAGCAATGAGGGAACATGGGAATCCCCATACTGAAGCTATGACAGACCCCATATGCACCAGTCAGACTACATAAGGCACGAAGAACTGTCGCATTTCACTAGCGAGGCAAAAGATCAGACAGAGACGAAGTTTCATGAATCGCAGCTGCCTATACTCCCAACAAGTGTGGTTATCGCAGTGTAAATATGGGGCCCTATGTAAAAAAACCAGAGAGCACTGTTGACGGGAAGAGGTCTTGCGAAAATGGGAACAGGAAAACCGGAAGATGTCTTGTGTGAGTGTGTTAGCTAGTGTGCTGCTATTTGCAATAGTAAACAGGGTAAGTACTTTACAAGCTTATCTCATAACTTTTGATAGTCTTGACTCTTCTCTCACAGAGGAAAGCAATAAAAGTTTGCTATTCTCTGCTTCAGAAGTTCCTTTCAGCACTTTGGAAGCTACAGGGCCCCTCGGCCAATAGAAAGGGCGATTAGCCCTTTCACATGTATTCATCCACGCCATGCCATCTGCTCTTCATCTTCACGGCATCTGTTCACCAAATTGTCTATACACACTCATTGCAGATATGGCTGTTTCACTAACTTAAAATACAGTGAAACTGAAACAAGCAACCACACTAGGAACTAGGAAGTGTGGACGTGTTGCTCTGCTAAAGATCGGTAGACGTTCATGCTGGCGGATCACTTCACTTTGTGGCCGTTTCTCTCAGACGCTGTTCATGGCTTTCGTATGACTGCTTCTCCATCGACGCGTTCATTCGAGTCTCCTGCTGCAATGCTTTTCTGTTATTTGTTTCCACTGAAAAAGGATCCTGACGCGCCCGAAACGCTGTGCCAGGTTGCATGTCAGTTGGAGATGCAGCTTTCCTGGTCTTGTGACACAGCCCAAGCACTGCCTCAGCGCGTTAGGCTTAGCGGATGCGACTAAGCAAGCAGCATATTTCACTTATGACAAAACGTACCTGATGCTTTATCATCAGAGTAAAACGAAACAAATCGATGGCTGCTTTCACCATTTATTGCTGTTAGCGCAGAGAGCAAGTAGCAAGAGTAAGATCGGACCAAAGCGATCGGTCGCTTCTGCATGGGTGCTGCTATGTTGATTTCTAAACCACATTGATTACTGCCATGTTGATTTCTACTTGTGTCAGTTAGCAGGGTAACCAACACAAATAATTTAATGCGTACGAAATAAATGCAAAGAATAAACATAGAACTAAATTGAAGTGGCATAACACACACCAAACGAACGCCAATTTCAGTCAACCTTGTCAATCTTAAGGCACTGACTATATGTGGGACTAGGTTTTGCCGTGCAAGCGTGCGACTTTTTTACAGCCCATAGCTTTGGTAGTGCTGAACCACAGTGGTGAAACAGTGCATAGAAAGGATACCGCTCTCAAACCAAGATAAGTATGTTAACTAATGGAAGTCTGTAGGTACAGGCTGGGTAGCATGCTAAGAGCCCTAGAAAGCTTTCTGGCACAAGACAGCCTGAAAACAGCTCTGCAAGAGTCGACTCCTTTGCAAGTGGTTAAATAAAGATCGTCATATAGGACAAAATATTTATTAATTTCTCAATCTCCACTAACAAACAGCACAAACTATCTCCTGTACAACCATCTTGAAGATATACACGAGACTATCCGGGTACGAGCACGAACAGGTAGAAGCATGTTAGTGCAAAAATCCAATATAATGTACATGCACAGTATAATGCACAATAAAGAAATCCTACCACATTAAACATAGTCCTCTAATTAAAAGAAAATAAAGGACTTCAAATGGTTCGTTTTCAAACAAGTTTATTAAGAAATTGAAACAGTTCCAACAAAGTGACTGAATTCTTTTTACCTTTGTGCAAGAAATGATGGCCTGGCTTCTTCTATAGTAACCATGCATCAGCGAGCCAAGTAATAAAAGACTTCATTATATCTACTCGCATTTCTTATTTACAAATGCACAAGGCAACAAGTGTTCCTTAAAATCCGACTTAGAATTCTTCTTGCCATCTTGAAACATTTGACTGTGGTTGTGGTACATGGAGATAAAACTGGTCAAGTTGCCGACTGTGGCATGCATCCACTTGGGTTGTCTTAGAGCGCACGTATAGGTTACGCCGCAAGGCCACTCTGGTGGTTGAAAACACCTTGCAATGGGCTTTGTGCTGCAGCATGGTTTTACCACAAAGATTAGAAAGCGAGGGGATCCCTCACACTACCAGCAACATGTTGGAAATAAATAAAAAAAGCCTTCACACGAATCTCCAGCACGCACTTCGTCAGTGACTTCGTGGCATTTGACACAGCTTGCACCTTTCATGCTTCAAAAGGTTTGTCGCCAATCATGCCAGTGTTAACACCTTGAAGCCAGATGACTTGGTGGCAGCTGCGGGTGTGTGCAGTCGTCTAAAGCATTTGATAAAATGCTGAATTTAATTGAGGTTGTTGGAGTTTAAATGCTAAAACCAATTAAAATGATGCATGCTAAAGCAGGGTGAGCGATACTGCACCCTTTGTTAAGGACAACGTCAATTACAGTGGTGAGCCGAGGTTCTCCAGGTCATCGAGGATGAACTTCATCGGTGGAATGTACTCCGTGTCATCCAGCGTATCTGTAGGTATGGGCAAAAAGAAGTGGCACCTTGTAACAACAAGAGTATCTACAGTATAGACCACTTATAATGTAACCGCTTATAGTGCAGGGCCGGTTACAATGCAGTCTTTTTCGACTCTTGTTTACTTTGGCACGAAACCCCATGTATACGCATACTGCTATTGTACAGTCCTCCAAGATGAAAGACCGGCTATAATGCAGTTGCCAGAAAATCTTGGTGAAACATGCGGTAGCAAGTGCACGTCTGAAAGGAGGGTGCGGTGCGCCGGGTGCGTCGCTGGAGAGTGAGCGGAGATGTCATTACAAAGAAGGGGACGCGGAGTGAATGAACGAAGGGTGGAGTAAAAAAAGAAAACAAGAAATTACAGACCATCTCTCCCAAGAGAACCCTGATGGGATGCGAAGCAGCAGCGATGCCCACGTCGTTGACCCGGTTGAAATGGGTGTGGACGCAAGTGCTAGAAGAACGGTTTGAAGCGAAGCTCTGTGTAGCGTTTACTCAAGGAAATGTTTGTTTGAAACGCAAAGACATGGGTAGCAGGTTGGGTTTCATGTAACTTTCATTAAGTGTTTGACAAGACTTCGTAGTCGTTTGAGTCAAGACACGAGTGTAGTACCGCAGCAGGCGTGCGTTTCGCCTTGACTACCACGGCTTTGTGATCGGAGAAGTGTACGCTGAAAGGTTCTTGCGGACACGCAACCTCAAAGTGGCGGCTGCGGCCGCTGCGGCGAGCGTGCTGCAGGTGAAGGAGAGAGTTACGTCAGCGCGCACGTGCGAGGGAAGCGTACAAGTAGAGCATGATATCAATGCGCAGCTGCAGTGTGACCTACTTAACACCACTCCACCTGTGGCAATGAGAACGTGTAGTGGCGCGTTCATACAGACGCATGTACGTAGGGCATCACGCACATAAGTAAAAGAGCAGCTTCGCATCTATAAAGAAAAGACCGTGGCACTCTGCGCGCTAGCTGAGTAGAAGGAGGGCGGTTGCTTAGGCGACGGAAAAATCCTTAGCACCGGCACCGACGCGGCTACAGTGTACTAGCTTTGCTGGTGTGGCTCCGGCTGTGCGCGGCTTAACATGGCACATGCGATCTCGTCCTTATCAATCGGGGAAAAGAGCTGTAAATATCGAGCATGCTAAAGATATCGCATTAACTCACTCATTCGTAAATTGAAAAACCTTTACAGCTTTATGACAGGAGCTTTCACCTTTGCTACCAAATCACTATGGGCTTGGTGGGTTTTCGTCGTCGATCTCCCATCCCGAACGCAAACTCCATATCATGCATCCCGCAAGCTGTTCTTGGTTCAGTGCTAGAGCGCAATCTTTTTGACGCCCGATCTTCATGTCTTGGCCAAACTTGCCACCACAACATACTGAATAAAAGGTTAGACCTAATCAACATTGGTTGCTTCTCGATAGGCGGTCGCGTGCTATATAGGTTAGTTACGGTTTGGTGCAGAATGAACGAAACTTTTTGAGGTGGCTGTACTTGAAGGGAAGGGAATATCATTAATGAAAACGAGGGCTACACGCCCAGCGCTCGAATGGTGGTTTGCAATTAGATTGAAATGTCTTGACATCGGGTGCGCGTCGTTGAAATCAAGCGATCAGTGTCTTTCAGCACCCAAACGTTTGGACATGATTCCACAGTTTCTGTGTAATGCGCATAATCGGGGCAGTCTGAGAAGTAGTCAAATTTTCACGGTAGTGCTTTCTTGTGTTAGACCCCTATCTCCCCTTTTTGTGTTCATTTCGTTCGGCAAAGTGGCTGTTTGGACGTTAAATTTTTTTTCAACATTCGGAAATTTAAATGGCTGTAAGCACCATGCATTGCATGCTTCGATTCTCGGACACATGCACTGCATGCTCCACACGGTTCACGCAAGTGCGGCTCTTGAAAGAGTTTGTTTTGATTATAGTGCGATACTGCTTATATTTCGGATATTCGGGACTCCATAGACTTACACTATAAGTGGTCTATACATATACTATAAGAGTTTCAAACAGAACAAGTGCAATCTACCACAGTAAACGCGAAAATGTTCAGCCTCTGCCACCTCAAAAGGATGCTCACATGTTTTCCTAAATAATATTTTTAAACATTAATTGTAGGTCCATCTGCTCAAAACAACTGAAAGGATACCCCATCCCTGGCACACTTTAAGTGACTCTATATAACAGCTTTGTTATAGCCAGCGTAAATTTCATTTCCGTAAATAATTCTGTGTTTTGCCTAGAGGCCTGATTTATAGGCACTAAAGAACTGGGTTTTAGGCACTAAAGATAGGCGGGCAAAATGCTGCTCTAGGCCCACAAAATCGTAAATATATGCACAATAAACTTGAGCGAAATTCAAATTTTGGAAGAAATACGTGTGGTATCTGTGTCTACGACAAGAAAGCAAACAGAAATGTTTTAGCTTATAATGGTACAAAGGCGCCAATGATTTAGCATAGCCATGCATTTTTTTTCGGTGGCATTTGCAGAATACAGTATCTCCTTTCTAGTCCAGCATGGCGAGTTAAGTGTCCGTCGTCGAATAAGCACACTCGTGTGCCTCTTTTCGCCAATGCTGAGAAGGGCAACACTGGAGCGAATAGCCAGACCCCTAATAGGCCTAGAAGGGTCTTTTTGCCTCTTTTTAACTTGGTCTAACAGCACAGGGCCAATTTCTCCTGCGTATGCAAACATCTTAAAGGGCCCTTCACCCGGTTTGAGAATTTCGAGGAGGCAAAAAGAAATGCATGCACTGGGCGGTTACGATCTCATCTGCCAAAATTTGCAATGGTACGCCCCACAAAAGAAGTGAAATATCAGACTGAACCCTACTTGACCTTTATCTCATGGGCGTGCGTCCTAGCATGGTGGAGGTGACGTATACAACAAGAAATGGTCCTGTGTATGTCGAAGTAGTACACGACACTGCGACAAATATTCGAGGAGACGTGTGTGATTTGTGCAATCTATTGCCTGAATAGAAGTATGAAGGTTGACTGAAATATTAAAACATGCAAACAGAATCCATGCGCATTATTTTTTTTAACGTTGTATAGAGCGAGATGGGAGACTAGGCTGCCTCCTTTTTGTTTGTGTTGGTTTTCTCGTTGTTTCCTCATCATGTCGCAGGCAGCACTCACAACGCTTAGTTTGTTTTTGGTGCATCGTCCCTTCGAGCTGTTTCAGCAGTGCGACGCGATGTATCGTGGTAAAGATAGATGATCTATGCTAGCCTCTCCAAACATGCGCACATAGGAGGATCCATCCCACAGAAACGGGCAGTGCAAGACAGAGAACGGTGAAACGACACATAAGCTCTTGCATGCATGACCTGGCATGGGCATGTCATGCGATCGTAACCTTGCCTTCACATGACTTGTTGATGCGTCTGCGTAGTGTGATTTTCTGGCTCCAGGTTGCTCGGATACCGAAGAGGGAAGGAAAAGAATTTGGCTAACGAAGTCTACACTGGGCAAGTGGCAAAGGTGTCAAGCTCACCTCTTTGCATCATGCTTTCGTGACTTGTCATAGACCAATTAAAAGTTTAGTGGTACAAAGCTTTTCATTGGGCATGCAGCAACTTCCAGTGTCTAAGTATAATTTCTCATGTGACCTAGTGAAGCGCAGTTTAAGAAGTAAATGACAAACAAAACAAAACCCACGTGGACATTTTTTAAAAAATCTTCACTCTACTTTCCCATGATGACACTCCACGGTGTCACATTCCTTTTTCATTATCCCACAGCTGCAAAGAAGCATCTCCTGTTTCCTATGCATGCGAGCAGTCGCTTGGGAGATGCTGAGCAGACAACGCAACGCAGATGAATACATGTGTAGACGCTAATTGGCCTTCCTATTGGCTAAAAGGCCTTGTAGCCTTGCAATACTGAAAGGAACTTATGAGATGGAGTAAAGGTTGCACCCTGTAGAGTTCCTAAAGCTCAATTTTGTCCAGTGACATAAATACTAATCTCCAACTGTACTTGAAAGCAAAATTTGAGGTTAAGTAACGTTTACATAGGCACCTGATTTTGAAATATGGCATTTATAGGCACTCATAGGAATTTAGGCACGAACGTCCAAATTAGGTATTTATAGGCACTATAAAAACACTAAAAGCTCTTTTTAACCTCTAATTTATGTGCATATGTCAAAGTAGCACGATAGGAATGCAGGAAACGAAATAGGCATTTGCCTATATCCAGGTCTAGTTATGATGCCGTGACCCGGACTGTAGGCACATGGGAGCAAAACAATGAGATGTATCGATGCTCAGTCATTTGCTGCATAGATACATTGGTCTCTACAAGCAGCGGCATAGGTGGTGAGCGAGAAAGCTGAAGGAATTGCCAAAACACTGCAATGTCCTGAGCTGGCAAGTGTGTGTCAGCCAGTGTGTTTTATAATTTTTTTATGCCACCAGATATGTTTAGTTATGTCACAATGAAGATCTAGGTAACGTTAATGAAAAGCTAATTTTAGTAAGTTGAGCCACAATGGAAATGGCTCACACAAGCTATGTGCGAAGCGATCACAGGTTTGCTATAAAACGCACAGCGGCATATAACTGCTGTTGTCACTGGCTGTTATGTATATACAGACAGCATTGAGCTATTGGCACAGCAAAAAGTCTTTTTAGCGAATACATCAATTATGTACCTTGTGAACGAAGGCTCCTTGGGTGCCGCTTGAACTCCACTCAGCTGTCAATACGTGCGACTCCCCAAAAATGCACTGCCGAGGCTGCGACTTCAGTTTTTGAACTCAATACAACCGTCCAGAAAGAGGGGAAACGCAATGACAAATACTGTTTTCATACCATATCTTTACAGGCAATGGATGGGGAACCAAAAGTTTTTCATTATTGAAGAAATTTTGTTCCAGCAAGATGCCATTGCGATGCACGTTACATGCCAATTAGACATTCTTCGATGATCATTGCATTCTTTAACAGTCATAACTGAATATAAAGCTATTAGTGGCCATTAGAAGCAGGTTCCCGACCTGCCACACAAGCCAAAATATACGTACCATCTTTGGGAGTCCTTGGAGTCCTTGGGGACCTTGTCTGTGGAACCTCCTGGTTCGCTTCCCTTAGTGGACTGCGTGGTTCAGCTCCTGCTGGGTGTGAGCTAAAAAAAAAGTGCACACAGTGCCTCACGCCACTGTACTTTTGCCGTCAGACTTGACGTGAATGATGAAGACAGATCTAGCAGAGTTTAAAAATGAGAATGTAACGGAGAAGCATTCCATCAACGAATTGGAAGTAGTTGTTACAGAGTATTACTGAAGTGGTGAAAATTAAGGGTGTAAGAATATTCAGAAAAATATTTGAAATATCGAATATTTTTCAGTGTTTGCTATTCGATTCGATTCGCACCATAATTTTACGATACGAACAACCCGAACTTCCCTATGACAAATACAATCAACATTCAATTGACAGTGGCCCATTCCGATTTTCAGTATGCTTCACCCCGTCCCACTCTCGTATTGCGGCACAGCTGCCTTTCAGGCTCTGCTACAGTGGCAAATGCATTGACTCAAGAAAATGCCGGTTCCAACATGAAGATGATAGATGTGGCAGAGGTGGAACTCAATTAATGCTGTTTTGGACCGGGAATTTGGGCAGAAAGTACGAAAAATCAGACGGACGAAGATTGTTTGAATCCGAAATTTCAGATGTTCTTAATTCTGACATCTATGAAGCAGATTTGAAACTCCGGTCTAGAAGGAAGCACACCATTGACCGCCACGTCCAGTCGGGCTTCCAGAGAAGTTGAAAGGGGAGGAGAGGTTGAGAAAATAGCATCTCTGCCTTTCACGTGTAAGGTGTTGTTGGTGACACTTTGGATGCACCCAAATCACGTACATAAATACAATTTTACCTCTGCATTGCTTCGTTCTTGATAAAACACTTATGAACCAGCACCACACCAATGCTTCTTCAACCTAACCAAAAAAAGACTTTCATGTTGCTATCTCATAAGGATATGCTTAAATATCCTCGCTAACTTTTTCTCCTCAATTTCACTTCCAAAAATTAGAAAAATATTCAAGAAACATTAGAAAAATATTTGATTTGATTCGCACACTCACTTCAGTGTTTGAATTTGTTTCGCACCCTAAATTTCACAACACGCATAGCTTTATTAAAAATAGCATGAAACGTACAAGATGCCGACTAAGAGGGAAAGCGCTCTGCCTTGTGCACTTGGGCACTTGTGCTCTGCCAGTGCCTCCTCTATTTTTTTTTTTGCCCGGGCGAATGCTTCCTTCAGGACGTCGAGTGCGCGCTCCGCCTCCGCTCGCCGCTGCCGCATGATGGCGCTGCGCAAGTAGACTACAAGATGCTGCCGCTGAACGGCAGCATATTAGGAAGCTCGTGATTCGTTTTTTCATAAGAGTTCATTTGCCGTCATGCTTCTTGACGGCTTTCACGGATGCAGGGAGGATGAAAAGTAACACGAACATAGCGGCACGCTGTTTTCAGCTGGCTCTGTCAGGCCGTGCTACCGGTTGAATACATGCGTTCGAGTTTTAAAAGCATTCACGTTTTATTTTTTTCTTTCAAGCTATCGCAACCTCATTATTTGCATGCGTCAGTATATAATACTGCTGTGTGTATCACTCTGAATATGTGACAGAAAAAATCAGACGGTCTTTTTTTTTTTCCCTTTCTCATTAGTTACCATAAAAAAAAACCACTTGGCGGTCACCTCATGAATTCACCTGAGACGACTGAAAGGCGAAAACTATGCCCATTTTCTTCCGATTCAATGCACGGAATGTTTCCTAGTTCCTTTCGGGATATTTCTGCGCCTAACATGACTTTCTTACTGCCTCAAGAAGTGAAGACAAAGCTCGCTTTCTGCTCCTCAGCTGGTTATGCAAGTGCCCTCGTGATCGGCCCATTTCAACTAAGCGAAGATGTTATATGACGCTGTCAAGTTATGTGACCTTCCAATACAGTCACAAGCATTTATGATATGTGACGTCATATGATAACGTTTTCATGTAATAATGATTTCTTGCATCACTCGTGTTCACGCAGCCAAAGTAAGAAGATGCTGGATGCCGCCGGCGATCACTTTTTCGCTTTTTATGAGACATTTAAAGCTATCGCCTTTATGCACTGTACAGCTGTAGCTCCATGAAATTGCAGCTTCCGCTGGTGTTTGGGGGGAACGTGCTTGAAGTAAACAAGCAGGACAATTGGTCTCTTAACAAATCTTCGTACTACACTCTAATATGTAGCCGTCATTTACAACCTGAATATTTTATAGATTTTAAGTAGTGGTGACTGAAGACTACTCGTCTCGTTTGGCAACAAGGCAATTGGTATTACTAAACCGGAGTGCGCTGCATCCGAACCGTCAACAAAGGAGTCTATCAGTATTAAAGCTGCCTTGCGATCACTGCCGTGTGCAACGCTAACATAACGCCTCGAATCTGAATGGGAGCCCATGGGCACCACACAGCCATTCGGCTCTACTCTGCTCGCTACCGAATTAAGAGGCCAGAGGGAAGAAGAAAAAAACAGAGCTGAGCAGCCGGATATTAAGGCTACAACAATCCGTCCACGAATACACAGTAAGGCTCAAGCAACTGACCACAGGCCGCATTTTTTACGCCTGTCACCTTGGCTCAAGTTGAGAGTCTGCATTAGACTTCAGACTTTAACAGCGCCCGTTCATAGGCCATGATCGCCGAAATCGCACCGCATATGGAGCTGCTCTTGTTTTACTTCATGGTGATTTCATTGTTTAAGCTCTCAAATGGTGAATAACATGTCATAGTTAATCATTTTGTGACACTTGCTTTTTCTCGGTGGCAACACATGTAATGCTTTGCGAAGGGAACGGATCATGACCTATATCCCTGGAAGCAGTCTAGTGGCATTTTGCTCTATTTAGTGCATGAACTCTAGGCTTGCGCGTAATGTGAAACGCCACTAGGCACTCAAGCTTTTAATATTAGCTCTCAAAACCAGGCTTTCAGTTAGTCAAAAAAGCAACTCTCAGGCAAGCGAACGCCACGGTGACAAAACGATGCGCTGCTACACCATATGTTAAAATGACAAAACAATCTTCAGCGGATTACTGGCATCAGCTATCTGGTATCGGCCTAGCAGAAGACGCGTGAGCGCCTCGATCAAGTAGTCGCAAACAACACATGCCTTTGAAATGAGCCGAGTGTCCAGAACTACAAATGCTTCACAATTCTCATTTTCAAGTTTTCATTACATTTTAAACAACGCGAACACAGCCGAAAACTGAGCCGTATAGCAGCTTCGCATGCAGCCGCGGCATTTGTTTGCGCGAGAAACGACCGTGGCTGCATCTCTACTCCAGTTGCAGCGCCTGGCGGCGAAACGCCACACTAGCACCGACGGCCGCTTCCCATTGAAATCCGCTCCTTCGCCCGGGCACTGAAAAAATTGAGGAGGGGCTGGCTGTGCTTGAATTGTCTATGTCAACGTAAGCATCCTTCTTAGCCCCTTTCTTTTAGAAGCATAGATTGCTTAGGAAAAGAGCCACTAGGGGGATACAAAAAAGCACACCTGATAACCAAATAAACATATGAGCAAGTAAATTCAGCTGTATTAGTAAATTCGTACTTGTAGTAACAGGGACAAAAACCATTGCTTCCACTGACAGGAGGCTTTATAATTAAATTGTCTGCACCAGCTTGCCACGAAGGCAGCTGAGCATTTAAAACAAAGCTTTCTTAGGCCACTCCATCCGCCTCGACATCCATTACATGAAGTGAACGACCTGGTGCAAGCACAGCATACAAGGACCATGTGAAGTAAAAATTCCAGGAACTGTTGCACACAGTTTTTGAAAAAGTGGGCTTTCTTGTGAAAAAACTATGCTTAAATTTCCAGTGTCTCATTTGTACTGAAGAAAACAAGTGAAAGCAAAAAGCAATCACTAAATCTTAGCCTCACACAACTAAGCTCGTTCTAATGCCTTCTAAGTTTTCCCTATTTCATCAGTCCAACTAGTCCTTTCACTTTCTCAAATGAGCCCTAATTCTTTTGGCAACATGTCATGGCTAACAAATATCGCCTATCTGTTTGGCACATTGCATTGTTGGTACACCAAATTTTTAAGTGTACAATTATTTCTGCGCACATTCTGAGAAAATCAGAAAGAGCCTAAAGGCTGTTATGCCTTGCCATTAGAAAAAAAATTAAATGCATTGCTGTCGAAAAAAAAAAAATGGGGGGGGGGGGGGAGGACATGGCAAAACAATTCGTCAAACAGAATAGTCCAGAGCTGAGCTAGTTGGTACATATTCTCGTTAAAAGACTGGATATGCAAACACAGACACAAAAGGGAAGCCGAGGCACTACAAACAGTTGTTAGCGTTTGTGACGTTGAGCTCTCTTGTGTCCATGTTTGCATGCACTTTCGTTTAACAAATCGGCAAATGTGTCGCGACATGAACAAGACCAATGAGAGATGCGGAAAATGTATGAACACATACGAAAAATTCCAATGTGAAGATGAGTAACGCAGGACACCTTTTGCAACATGCACACACAAAACTAAATTGTCTCGAATATCCGATATGGTGAGACCATATTCGATATCGGTGTATACATATAGATCTCATGCCACTGGACAAAAACTACTTGGCTACTCTTTTTCGCTCGCTAACGCATGCTACTCTCTTCGTGCCTATGATGTATTCTTCATTCATAAGCGATTGAAGCACCCACCTTAGCTCGGCCCACGCCTGTTGCCTCCTTTGTGCAGATGCCAGCTGCTGGGTCTTGAAGGAGAGGGAGGCCCTGCGTTGTGCAATCTGCACCTCCTCTTCAAGGGCCTGTTCCCTGCGGCTTTGGACAAAGTGGATGAGCCGGGCCCCCTCACGTGAAAGCGGGGTCATTGCCTTCAGTCGCTGAGCCAGGGATGCGGCAGACTCAGTGGTGCCTAGTGGTTTGGCGGCAGCGCACACAGGTGGCTGCTGAGCTTCGCGCACTGACGAGGTTGCCATTGCCGTTGAGCTTGCACAGGGAGTTGTAACTGCAGGTCAAAATATAACGACTGTATTTAGATGTTCAGTTATAAAATTCAGACAAAACCTTTTACTTAATACATGGGCGGATGTTATTTATTGTTGGCATTAAAGCTTGGAAACTTTGTAACAATACTCTATACCACTGTTTTTCACATAGTTTGAATATTGTTTTCTTTTATTTGCTATTATCCCATGAACTTATTTTTGCTAATTTTCATTTCCAATATCTATTCTGTATTCAATTTTCATTTTTGTCCGTTTGCACTCTTCATCACCTACCAAATTGCTTGCTTTGGGTACTGCATGACCTCATTACATAATTTTGTACAGCAAACACAGGAATCCCTTTAAGAAACCTGAAGGCACCAAGGAAATACACTATGTCCCATGCAACACCCAAAAAGTGGTCTATGTAACAACTTACTGTATCTCAGGACGACAACAGTGTCTTAAATGAATGACTGCTAGGAAGGTTTGTAGACTTTAGCTATCGTATCGGTACTCCTGATTATACATGCATGCACATCTGAGTAATGAAGGGACAAAATATGCAGTGTTCCTTAGCTGCTAGTAGTCCCCTGCCAATCGTAATGTGCTCTTATGCATGACACGAGTGTACAGTGGCGAAAATGACTTGAGTGTTTTGCATGAAATTCGCTCATTTTAGCACCGATGTCTGATTATTTTCTTTTGAAGATGGCTGCAGTGCCTTTTTTAAAGGAAATTCATGGCCATGCTCGTACAGTTGGGAGGAGAGCTCAAAATTCGGGAAAACTCCCTTGTCTTCATGGCTCTTCCACCCTGTTTATTAACTATGACAACCAACTGGCCCAGTCACACACCTTGTTCCCGGGCAAAATCAGGATAGTTGGTAGGTGTGCTCACAGCTGTGCAGCTGTTTTTGACAGCTTGTGATAGCCAAAGTGAGTGACGTGATGTGAGCGATCACATCTACGCAGTTAGCTACAATGATTATTTACATTGAAAATCACACTGAAGGCCACTTAAATTTTGTAGGTAGTGCGAAAAATCTTGCATACCGTTTATTTCACTGCATTACCCAATCTCCCTCAAGTCAATCTTCAATTACACTTTTCCCTGCACTGCATTGGAACGAGATTATGATAGAGTGTAGTAGCCATAAAGCAAGCAGCTGTAGCAACACTACATTAGCCCCCGTGGTAGAAATTAAACGAAACTCTTTTAAATGAAATTGCTGCTTAAATGGAACAACTGCCCCTAATATGTTTGGTTTTGTACTTGAATATTATAGCCCTATTTATCCCTCAGTAAACGAAACTCCTCTTAAAGGAAACTCATTTTCCTGGTCCTTTCAGGTTTCGTTTAAAAGGAGCCGACTGTACAAAGCACTAGTAACAATTGCTAGGGTTTTGGTTTCTGGTGCCAAAAACAACAATACGATTACAAGGTGTGTTGTACTGTAGGGCTCCGGAAATTTGATTACCTGGGAGTCTCTAGCATGCACATAAATGTAAATACATGGGCCTCGACATTTGACCTCCATCACAATGAGACCGCCAAAGCCTGGGATTGAACTTGTGCCTTTCAAGTTAGCAGCAAAGCACGAAATGCAGATCACTGTCACTCCAACTCACAAAATGTGTGCTTCCCGAGCAATGTGATAGATTTAATTAACAAAACTTTCCGAGAATTAGACTTCATTGCATATTTATTCCGACATGACACAACAGAAAACCCAATGCAAAAAAAAATATATATAGTCCACCACAGTGCCATAGCGGTTATGGTGCTCGGCTGCTGAGCCAAAGGTTGAGGGTTCAATAAGGCGAAATGCTAGAGGCCAGTGATGTGATGGCAGCGCACTGTAATGATCATCAAGGGATCAAAATTTTCAAAGCCCTCCATTACGGCCCACCTCAAAACCATACAGTGGTTTTGGTACGTTAAGCCACAGACATTATTATTGTTACTCTTACGCAAGAGAGACACAAAGCCAAGGAGCCTAGACTTGCAGTACGCCTTGTAACGTATATTGTGGCTACAACACGTTTAAAAATTTTCTTGGGGACACTTACGTAATACCATATTTATATCAGGGAGTATACTCTGCTTCATACATCAGGTGCAACACTATGGAAGAGATGCAAGAAGTTGCATAAGCAAAATGTGCGAGTCCGCACATCTCACGTTAGGCTTTAATGATCATAAATGCTTGTGAGGCATCGCAACAGACTGCAAGCGTACACAAAAAAACTAAAAAACAAAGACGCTAGGTGGTCCAGGACAATGTGGTATTAAGAACCGTACAACAGGGCTTGTTCATTTCTGGGCCACAAAGCACCTTCATTTAGTACTCAGTCTTCCCCCTCCTCCCTTCCCTCCAGAAAAAATCCCACAATGGGTGGTGAAATTATTGAAATGTTTTTTGGTGCGAGTGCACATACTGCAAGAAGTCTCACTAGCCTCCACAGCGTTGTACCTGATGTATGAAAGGAAGTATAGTGTGAAGTTCAAAGCATGCAGAGTTTTACAGCAGTAACTGAACCACATTTCTTGCCACTAGTACAAGAGAAACTATACTTCAATGTTTTTTAAACACATTCTTGTAGAGTACGCTTCAATGGGATTGGTTCGCGAGTGATGCTGAACTGACTGCTTACAATTCAATCGCAAACTGTCCGAAGTGCTTTTTCAAGGGTTGAACTATCTGAATAGCACAGCAAGTTCCCCGGCAAAGTGTTTCAGTTTTGAATTTTGCAAACACAAGCAGTGATGGAAGCGAGATATTGCTTTTTAGAGCAGATCCTGGAGCAGAAAAAATTGTGCTTTGGAGCAGCCGAGGAGCCTTAACTCTCTTTGGAGCGGAAAAGATTGCTAGAGCTAAGGTTGCTTTTGGTGTATTCGGAGCAGATTTGTGTTCCTAAAGACTCCTGAAATCTAAAACACCACTTAACAATCCAATAAATATTTATATTTATTATTACACATGCTGCATGCTAGTATGCAGCTAGTATACAAGCCGTATAGTAGCATCATTGGCGTAAATTATGAGGGGGGGGGGGGGGTCACGGGAGTTTGGACATTTCTTGTGTTCAGGCTGTGGAGGACAGCCCTTGCAAGTGCCCCCTTTAGATCTAGCTTTAGTACATGATATAATTGAGTTAACAGTTAAGTATAGTGCAATCAAATTTTTAAAAGGCTTTTTATCTGTTACTGCGTAGCTGTGTTAAATGCCCTTAAGCTGTGTGAACTATGGAAATCACAAAGAGGTAAATAAAAAAAAGCTGAATAGATAATGCGAATGCTCGAGCTCGATCATGACGCTCTTTTTTTTCATGTTTTATTTGAAAGCACGATTTAATTCTTATATAAACAAAAATACAACCCATATTGAAAATACGAATTGGTCAGCACGGCCTGATATGCGTCACCACTTATGATTTTACGATTTTTCTGCATTTACGCCACTGAGTAGCATACTAGGATGATAGAATACAGCTTTTTATTGGTTTCGCTTAGGCTCACGGGATGGTTCCCATGGTTCAGCTTCATTCGTTCAACTACTTCTTTAGTTTGCCAACCCCATTTCGGAGCATGTTTCAAGCAGTTACTAGCAAATATTGCACTTTGGAGCAGCATTTCTCTTTCGGAGCAGTTTGGAGCAATTGGAGCAGCACTTGCATCACTGCACAAGATTACATTGTTATCATAGAGTTGAAGTAAAAGGCAACACACTATTCATTAGGCCTCTGGGATTATTAGTGTGAATAGTGAATTCTAGGTTTAAAGTGAATTTAAAGGAAATAGTGATTTTGGACAATTAATTTCGAATCAAGTTCGAATATAGTATACATTACATATAAAGAAAAATGGGCATACTATGATCCATCGTGCACAATACTTATTTTATTTTTAAATTGAAATAAGGCCTCTGTGCAAATGCCATTTCTTTTCAGTTCAAAGGAAGCTGAAACAACTTTGAATAATGTCAGGATTTGAGTTACGGTAGATTGCAAGTGATAACCTGTAAAATATGTAACATTTTAAAATTTACTGCACTGAAAGCATATAAGGTGGCATAACAAGCTTTTAGCGTAAAAAAAAAAAACTATGAATCGATTCGAGTGTAACACGTTCATTTAACTTTGAAGTGGGGCTTTGCGGCAGCGCGTCTTTCCCCTGGATATGCGTTTTCAGGGCTTTGCAATCCTTCAACGCGGTGAAGCCACTTTTACAAAAAATTACCTGCGGAATAACATACTACATCTATTCGTTCACTGCGAATACTTCGAAATTTTTAAAAACATAAATTCAAATTAAAGCAAAATTGAACACTGTACTATTTGTTTAAATATTTGCACAAGCCCAAGCATTACAAGCTATGAACTGTTGATTTTTAGCAATGCAGTTTCATAACATTGATGTTTTGACACACTGCATTGTTGTTGAAAGGCAACACGTTCTGCCATACTGTCACCTTGTCGAGGTGTTTTCAAAAGAAGTGGTACATTCTTTCCTCCACCCCCATCTCCTCTCCAAGTTCATCTATAAAAGCATGCCGAGATTAAAAGACCACAGTACTACTTGAGATTACAATAAACGCATTTTGTGCATTTCGAGATACTGCAAGATGGCATAGAAATCCAAGTAACCTGCATTTAAATTTAAAGGGGTATTGATAAAAAAAAAGACTTTGATATGACTATTTATTTTTTTCCTTTCTGCAAATATTTTGCTGGAGACCCACCAGTCATGACATGGCACATCACTTGATGAAGCGTGCTACTGATAATTACTGTAATTATCTGACCAGGCACAGTTTCAATCTGGGGAAACTCCGAGACCTAATGATGTGTACATTCTTTAGTATAATATTGGACCGAAAATCAAATAGTTGCTCCATGAATAGTACTTATTGTCTAGCCACTGCTCAGTAATTTAACCACTCCAACAACTTCACGCACCACGACTCAATGATAATGTTACGGGTAACTTATTTAATAAATTAAATACGATGCACTGT